CGCAAATCTGTCCTAATTTTCCGGCGTAGGGAAGGACAGAGCTCCGACCAGCGAGGATTGCGGTGTCTCATTACTGCCGAGAATTTATAAAATCTACTATATCGGTTATAACGAGAAAACGTGTTTGCGCATCGAGGAAACGTGTTCTAATTACACAAACGCCAGTGTGTATAGTATGTATCATATCTTTGAAAGAGGCTGGCATGCGCGCCACTTAGAAAATATATTATTAAATTTATCTCGCCCCTTTCACCGAAACAAATTGGTTCCCATTCCCAGTCGACCATCTTTCTCTCTCCTCCGACCATCTGCATAATGAAACAGGCCAGGTTTGCACGAATCGTGCGTGCCATATTAATTACATCAATGGCCACGAATATGAAAAGAACGTTTTATTTTGCTGGTACATTTTGTTTAATACATGTACATTGTATCGAAAAGAAGGTGGTTATAAAGGTTCATTTAAATTGATACGATTAAGAGCGCAAGAAAGAGGTTAGTATACCGAGTTGAAATACGATTACGCGATGCAATGAAACTTCCACGGATACGTTATTGGATTGCTGAGAACGTTAGCGGAGCCGCGATGAAATGCAAACTGACTTTCTTAATATTACGCTAGAGAACTGCTAGAGTGATCAGGTATAGTTCACAATTTTTCGCCAGGATCTTGCAGATTGCTGTTGCACGTCTCGTTTTAATTTCGACAAATAAAAATATTAATATTCCGAGGAGATAGATAGAATTAAATTATAAAATTACACATTGCATATCGCTGCGCACAAATGTCGATGAAATTTAAATGATTTTTCGTCAAACATATAAACAAAAGGTTGTATTCTTTATAGTGTCACGAAGTACAGTAACGCGTTATATATTTTTATAAATTTGTCACGTTCCTTGCCTCTTTCATTTTCCTTTCGTTCCGTACTTTAATCGCATTATTATACTTCGTAATCGTATTATTTAGTACGGCGACAGTGTCTGCCACTGTCTTAATTAATGCTTTCGCTTTACTTTTAAACTTAAAAATTTTTCTCACGGAACAGAGGAAAGATACAATTACGACGGAAAATGTCGAAAGATAATTAAAGAGTCATCGCCGGGAAAATATATTCTAGCTGTCGTTTCTCCCTCTTTCTTCTTTCGAGTTGTGCCGATCGGCGTAAGAAGTCGTTTCCATGAGACTGGTACATTTCAATTCGCGAAATGGTAAAAGCGCGATACGTCGTGCTTTTCACGCAGTGTCCAGCGTCTCGGCGGTGAAAGCGCGGCTTTGTCGCGGCGTCGATCGCGATAGGAAGTGCTCATTGAAGAGCACAGAGCCAAAAGCGAGCGAGCGCGACAATAAGGCGCCTTTCACGCGGTCCACTTTACCGGACGCCACTTGTCGGTTCACGGCCTTCCTACCTTCTTTTATACGGACCACTTCTCCGCCACCGAGCGGCGCGGCGTCGCCCCCTAGCTCAATGCCGGCCGTTCGCTCGTAAAACCTGTACGTCGAACAAATAGCGTTGATTTTATTGCTACACATCCGGAGGAAGACACGTGCGGCCGTTTCTCTTTCTCTTCGAACGTTTCTTCTTCGAACGTTTCCTGCGGTTGAGCTCGCGTTATTTGAAAATTCAGGCCTTTCAAGGCCGAATCCGCTCCGAAAAATCGTAGAAATGTAACAGAAATTGAGCCATCCGGAAGTTGATCTGTTTTTACGAAGTTCTCAGTTCAACGATTTTCCGAGTGCACGTGCACCACGATGGAATATTTTCCATCAATACAAATCGATCGATCTCGCGTCTCATTTTCTCTGTTTTGTTACTCAACAGTTGTGGATTTTTCAAAATTTCAAAGCCTGGGGTTTCTTTTTCCAATTGTATCTGTGAAAATATGAATTTTCATAAAAACGCAGTACACTGGGAGAACGAACAATTAGCTCGGTTCCCTGAAACAATTTGTGCAAACAGAAGAAAACGCTAGTTTCTTTTCTTTCGTCGAGGCGACAATTAAAAATGACAAAACGACCAGCGCGAGCATCGGAAGCGGCTAATTAACATGTTAATTGCGATTGGTCGGGGGCGCGCCGGGTTTAAATCGGTTTGTAAAGGAACGCGTGACTAAAGAAAGACGCGGGATGAGACCGGGAGTTCCGTGCGGCAGGTGATAAATAGCGAGAAACACGATAAGGCGCAACGAAAACAAGGGAGAAGGAAGCTTTGCAATTAAAATTCAGTAACTCGCTTACCGAAGTACACGTCTCTCGATTGTAGCGGCACCCATTTAATACGATAAAGCCAGGGCCGCTTTACACCGAGTACAAATCACCTCGCAATCAGAGCTTTCAATTGCTTCTACGCTGAACGATGAAGTGTTACGGTTACGAGGGCTACGAGGCGCTAGATTCAAATTAATAGTGTGTTTTGCGGCCCTCGTTAACGATCCCTCGTCCCGCTCGATCGTTAGTCATCTTTTTTAATTTAAAACATGTACTTCAGATTGCATTGTAAAATGTACACTGTAGAATATTATACGTTACTTTATTGTTTGTAATTTGAGATTTAACGCTGGCTCACAGTGTATAATAGTGTTATCTATAATAAAAATCATTAAATTTGAAGCTATCGACTGCATAAATGGCACGGTAAATTATTAACCACAGGGCCACATAATAGATGATCAATCCCTGAGTAGACCATTGGAGTAATGTAATTTCGTTTAATTTTAAATTAACAATTGTATCATTGTGTTCGTGTCGTGACTTAAATATCTAGCTGATTCTCTATTACATTGAAAGGAAATTAATTTTTGTTTAATTTAATTTATTCTGAGGTTTGAACCATTCATGAATTTGAAATGCGTACATATATGCAGAATGTTCCCAAAATCAGGACATAGGCCAATTTTGTTAAAAGCAAAGTTTTAAATAAAATTTCTGTACGTAGAAATTCTTCTCTTTGCAGATAAGAAGAGAAAAATCGTGGAAGAGATTACACGTTATCCCATAACGTGAGTTCGTGTTAGTTCAAAAAATCAGGTTTGTTCTGTTCGTTTGTATCACTTTTCGGAGGACGAACGTAAGTTACCCGATTGATCCAAGTTACTTTTATCGTGAGATAATCTTTTTTCCCGAGACACCCGGTTTTATTATCATTCACAACACTATTGTCCTGCTGTCTGTTTATCTTTCGGTAGACAAGCAGGCTTTTATTGCCCCGAAAACAATGCCATTATCGCCGGTAGCATGTAAATTTTTCTTGTATACACGAGACGTTACACGCGGTGGCTGGTTACTCTAGCGTTTCTCAAACAAACGTCCCTCCGGAGGAAAATCCCCGGGAAAGATTTCTCAAAGTTCCGCGAGAACACAACAGATAGAAACAATTATCAGTGTTATTTACTTTTATCGCCCGTTTATATCGGCCGGATGAAATATTGCAAGTTGGCGCACCGGGAGAAGTGTACGATATAATGATATTTTTCAAATAAATAAATTAATACCTGGGAGGGTAGCTGTTGTCCCGTTGGACAAAGATAAATCGTTCGTTTAATTGGATTCCCGTAACAATGCAGAGATGCAAGGAAGTGTAAGCGGTGAAATATTTAGCGTGAGCTGTACGACTAATTAATGAAACGGGATTACGGTATAATAAACTATGCCGGTGCAATTGTTTGGATTTAATGTACCAATCGTTGCATTTTCTTTCGAACTGTTGTAATGTACGTCCGTCATCGCGCTAACGATCGTTTCTTCATCGACGTGAATAATGTCTCTCAAACATTAATCAACGAAGAAGCTGAAATATCGCTGTGGGATCGGTTCTCCTCCTCTCGCGTGATTCTTTATTCGCTGTACAATGCTGGAGGCCATTTTTTTTAAATTTCTTGTCAGCTGGTGATTAAGACAGTCTTTTTATGCATTCGTGGGAAATTTAAAAGCATAAAGTTGCACGGGGTGCACGTAAAATATCCAAAAACTGTAGCTTTAATATTTAACGCACAAAGAAATTTTATATTATGATTCTGTTTGTTTTTAATTAATTAATTTTTTTAAATTTTGTATAAAGAGATAAGAATTTTTACTTTATTAAGGACAAGATAATTATTTTCTCAACTTTCTACTGTATGTTGGATTTAACGAACTTTTCATCAGACATGGAACTCCTCCACCATGTTTATCGAATATTCATAACGACACGAAAAGCTTTAGGCAAGAATGTTTGTCATTTTCAAGAACTTTATTCCCGCAAGCGAAATACGACCATAGAGCAAAACGATTTGCGGTTAGTTTCGGTAATACGAATCAAATTATATCTCGCTATCGAGCTTCTCATCCAAAAGTGTGGCAAGGCAAACAAAACGAGCCGGCCAGGCTCAGAGAGAAAAGAGAGAGAGAGAGAGAGAGAGAGAGAGAGAAGCACGGGGAAAAGTGACACTCGGTGCAAAACATTTTCAGACGCAAAGTCCCGCTCGTTAGCGACGCGCGAATTTTATTTGCATCCAATTAAAATGCAACTTCGCTAAATACTTCCAATACTTTTGCGATCGTCACCCGCTCGATAAACTTGGAAATGTTTTGCGGTTGTGGGACTGAACTTTAAGCGCGCGTTTATTCACCGAAAAACAAAAAAAGAAAGAAAAAACAATCGAATAAATACCGAGGCAGTGAGATTTTAAATCTAGAAGCTTTCTCTTCTAAACTCGGTTTTATTAATAATCATTTAAGGATCAATCTCATTTCACTCATAATTTCGTTCAATTTAGCCGATTTATATCACCGAATCATATTTTTTAACATTGGAACCGTGAAAGAAAATTCCAAACGTTCGTTCTATGTTGTTCGACTGAATTTTGTAATTTTGCCAAGTTGAAAACAAAAGAGAAATGATACGCTTGGTCCTCGATCGATTTACCGAGAGCACGAAACTCGAAACAAACATTTCAAACTGCGACAGGAGAATGAAAAGAGCTTCGATTTCATTTCAACGAGTCGTTCGATGATTTTCCAGGCACGCATCGTTGGAAGCAACCGCGAAACGTTGCCGGCCGAAGCTGTGGACAAGCGCGCGGAGGGCGTTGATCATCGGCAGCGACTTTGAACGCCGCTTTAATAACCAGTCAACCACGTGAAGTATTTCATTAGAGAGGCCCGGAGATCCTGGCCGGCATCGGAGGGGACAGGGACGAAGAAGGATCGGTGTGCTGGCGCGTCGCGTGATACGAATTCACAGAGTTTAGAGGAACCCGTAAGCTTCTCTTTGACGCTCGTCCCTTCTCCGACGAGAAGGGAAGTCCGACGTAGCGCAACTCCACGCCGCCGCCACCACCACAGACTACGGAAAGTTTAATAAGTGTCCATTGGCCGCGCGCGCGAAGCGTTTGTAATGCGTTCCGGTGTCACCGTGCCGTCCGACTGAGATTCGCCGAGATTCGATTTCAAGACGTAACAGGGCAGAGAGAGAGAGAGAGAGAAAAAGAGAGAGAGAGAGAGAGAGATGTGCGTCACCACCGAGTACAAAGGCTTCGCCTTGATCCGGCGGTGCATCAGTGAAGAAGCGAAGTCTCGTTCGCCGCGAGTTCGGATATCGAACATTCGCCAGTGACTGCGCAACGACGAAGATGTAGCCAGGCCACCGAAGCTGTTGCAGTTTCGTAGACTTTGATGTATTCCAAGTGTTTGGACCTCGAATCGAGTAGGTGTAGATTCTGGGACACGAAAATGACAATAACGTCGGTGTACGAGAAAGTGAGAGAGAGAAAGATAGATAGAACGTCGATGGAGTTAGGATGAACGGGACTCGAGCGATTAAACGAAGATCGCGCGGAATTCTGAAAAGTGTCGTCCAGATATTTCGACGAAAATCGAACGAGCGCGGGTCGATCAGATGTGGCTCGACGTCGGTGTGACAGTGACTTTTAACGAAATTTTGAGCGCGTCGCGGGTCGTAATGTTGGAGAGATCGGTCTGCGAATCCGTCGCGAGGGGCTGCCTCCTCGAAACAGTCTCGCGTATCCCGTCCCTTTCGTTCTTCGCCGCCTCGAAGTGGAATTTGTTTCCAATCCGAGTTTCGAGCCCGCGCGAACGCGACCGGGCTACCGGGAACACGCAGCTCGACTCGACGAAATAAAACGTGACTGGGGATCAGCAGCCGGGGATCAGACTTACCATTCGCGGGAATAGATCCCGGAAACGTTTCAGTCTTTCAGGAATGGTGAAATTCTGACGGCGAAAATGGAAATGCGATGCACGACGATGGAATAGCTTGACTGAATTCAGTCAGCGGCGCAAAGACCGAAGTAAAGACTGAAACGATACCTTCTGTCCACGGTTGAGATAGTAGCTGCCTGCTACAACCTGGAACTGCATTTCGTCTAATTCGACGGTGCCGTTGAAAGGCTTTTAGTAGAAAGACGGCACGCACCCGGTTGCGCGAAGCCGGTCGCTGCGCAAAGTGGAAAGTGCTGGAGCTGGAGAGACTATGATACCAGTTTGATAACGTGGGTCAGAGACTCGGTGCACGGTCGCGAGTTGCTACGTCCGTGTCTGGCCCGGCCAGCCGTGTTCACTCCCCTCCGCCCCTCCCCCACTCCCACCTCCTGGCGAGAGGTTTGGTTGGACGAGAATCGGAGAGGACTCGAAACAGGCAGCGAACGATCTAGACAGAGAGCGAAAGAGAGAAAGAGAGAGGGAGAGAGAGAGAGCACAGAGATTATTATAGTGGAGTTCGTGTGTGGTGCAGAGGCAAAAGAAGAGAGTCGACCGGGAAAGTAAGGGACAAAGAGGCAGCAGAAGGGGAATTCGTAGGTGGAAGAAGAGAAGAAGAGAACAACGGACTGCAACGTGAACGTGGAAGTTGAAGAAGAGCAGGGGGAGGTGGAGGTGGAGGAGGAGGAGGAGGAGGAGGAGGAGGAGGAGGAGGTGGAGGAAGAGGTGAGAGGACAAGCAGGGAAGTTTCCGTCTGTCCGAGGTGGATGGGGGTGAAAATGTTCGGAGTGTTGCTGGCATGTGTCTGGCTGGTTGCCGGCTCCCCGTTACATCCCTGGCCGCTAATACCGCACAAAGGTATGTGCTCGATCTACTAGTAATTTCTTACAGCTTCTTCTCTTTTTCCCCCCTTTTTTCTTTTTCTCTTTTTCTTTTTTTTCATCGAGAAAGTAAACCCGATGATTATGAATCTGAACCCGAGCGCACGATTTTCGTATTTTCGCGAGAGCGAAGGGATTATCAGAGAAACGTTTTACGAGCAATTTTTATCCTTGCGACACGGTGAAAGAACACTCGTGTTTTGTCGATACGAATGGCAAAATATCCCTGCTTGTTTATTATATAAATACCTTGCGGTGTAAAATGGCGGGAAATACGGGCGCGATAATTGCGACATTTTTTCGTCCGATTGCACGTTGCATGTGTATCGCGCAGTTAAAAATCATCGGTGTAACGTCGCAACGACAAAAACCACTTGTCTGTATCGAGCCTTACTCGTCGAAAGTAGAGAGAAGAAAGTTTCCCGTCGTTCCTCGCGTGTCGTTGTTTATCGTTCTGTGTACGTCTGTTCCCTTTTTTACATCTTGAACATACGCTCCCTTTTGTGATGCGGTTTAGTGGAGGCTTGACAGTTTGTTGCAACTTCCTCTTTTTTTCTTCTCCCCTCCTCCTCACTCCGGTGTACCGGTCTTTTTTCCATCGAAATTACAAGAGCGCCAACAGGGAGAGCTCTCTCTCTCTCTCTCTTTCTCTCACTCTCTTTCACCCTCTTGCCACCGCGTAACACTGTTGGCAGACTGTAGTTTTACGGCTGACGCGAACACTGTAATTTAAAATACTCCACGATAAAAGAGACGAACGATAACGGCTTAACAACGAGAGCAAAAAGTTATTCCATCTCGCAACGTTGATAATCCGATGTAGAAAAGTTGCCCGACGTTTCACTGGAAGTTCTTAACGCCGTGCTAAACGTTCTCGGGTTCACCGTCGACTAACGCTGATAGAGAACATACTCTCTGTTGAACCACTTTGTTGAAAAAGAAGGAAAAGAGAAAAACGGAAAGAAAAGAAACAGAAAAAAAGGAACTGTTCACCTTCTTTGTGCTTTTCTTTGAGTTAATTCAAACTTTTAGTCTCGTCAACTTTCTTCATTAAAAATACGTTCGTTAGATTACAAAAATTGTACGTTTAAGTGGGAAAGTTTAACTCTTTTTCGATGTGTATTCAGTGGCTTTAAGTACAACTGCGCTTGTCCTTTGTCAGACACGTTCGTTTAACGCGTGCTTAAACATTTTCGTTGATCTTCTTTCGTATTTATTCGCTGAAAGGGACATCGTTCGCGTCAATTATGAAAATTAATGTAAATATTTCTCCCGTGAAAACGTTCCAAGTAGAACGATTCTGTTTTAGTCGGACGGCTCTGCTTAACAGAAACGAAAACTGTTTAGCCAGTTTTCTTCACGTCTGTCCGTCCATGTGAATAACGTTGCCCGTGCCAATTGCAGAATTAATGCGAATTATCTTTCCTTCGGTATTCCTTCAAGTGGAAAAACACTGGCTCTCGTCAAACATTGACGTATCCAACGTAGACCCACGTTAAAATTCACATTGGAGGAATAATATTCGTTCTTAGATGATGAATTATTATTCGATCTCTTCTCTTCGGAGTGTAATAAAATTTCGTGAATGTCGATTCGAGCGATTCACCGCGAAGAAACATCGAATTGTGACGGAGAGAGATGATAGAACGGTTCCACCATGGTCGGAAACCGTGCCGAGGCATAAAAGGAAAGTAGCCAGGTTTTTTTTCCCTCCGGTATCTTCTTTGTATCGGTATCGTCGTTTCCCTTCTTTTGTGCGGTCGACTTTCTTCGAGCTTCGCGGATGGAAATGAAGACACGAACCGACGGTAAATCGAGCGACGCGCACACCGGAAAGGCACGCTCGATTTCGCAAACGCGCGGCTCCCGCTATTACGCGGCTTTGCTCGCGTAATCGCGCCTCCATTTCGAGAATTAGTCCATCAGGATTCAACGTCGCGTGAGATCAACCGATTCGTGTCAACACCGCTAGCGTTTCTTTCCTCTTCGCCGTTAAAAGGGGCAGAAAAAGGAGAAGGGAAACGGTGGAAAATAAAAAGAGAAGCGAAGGAATGTTTCCACTTCGATCGAAACGAGCCGAATCCCATCCATTATCCGCGAGAATGCCGCGCACGAACGTTTCGAACAGTAATTGGCGTGACGTCCCTCGAGTGTTCGACCCACGGTTCGAACGCTGATAGACGCAACTGGTCTCGCGGAGAGAATTCCGATTGAAGTTTTTCCATCTTGATGAAATTAATTCGTTAAAACGGCGCGAAAGTTGCTCGTTGTCTCTCTTTTTCTTTTTGCTCCCTCTTTTTCCTTTTCTTTTCTCTCCCTTTTTCTTTCTTTTATTTTTTTCCTTTTTCTCCTTTTTTAATCCAAAGATTCACCGAGACTCTCGGTATCGATTAACTCGGAGCTGGCGGCGTCAAACTTGGTCTCTTCGCCCTTCTTTGCCCGAGCGATGAACGAAGTAACAAAGTGGAAATTAAGAGGAATTTAAGAATTCGCAAGTTCGAACGGTTAATTTGCCAGGCGAGAGTTTTTAATCAACGCGAGCGCGTTCGCCGATGTCACGGATTTCATTTCGCGCGCTGTTCCCTCGCCGGGATTCCCACGAGGCGATGAGGGATTTCATCGGAGATAGACGACAGAGAACGCTCTCGTCACGTAGCTCTCGATAAGAGCGATCTTCGATCGACTCCTCGAGCGGTTCGCCGGCGAGGCGGTGCCGTTTCGAATCGGTGATCGAAATCGCGTGTGGCGAAGGCAAACGGGCCGGGGAACGATAAATATTTAACCAAGCTACTAGAGGATGGCCGTGTACGATATGCGCTCCGCGTAGGGTCGAAAGAAAAATTTAATATCGGCGCGGCGTTGTTGTTCACGGTACGTGCGGGCACGGTCGCATCGCGCGAAAAATGCCGGCGCAATTAGGCCAGTAAACGGAACAATTTCATTACTCCTAGCGAGCAATGCGTCCTTTACTCTCCTCTTCCTGCTTCCTCCTCCTCCTCGGGTGATACGTTGTTTCTAATTTCGACAAGTCCGTCTCAAAAGGGCAACTCATGTGGCTATGGAACATAGAAGACAAAGGGCTTGAAATTAAGCCTCGCTTCGCTACTTCGTCTATCGGATCCCGATTCTTCTCGAATTATGCATTCTTTCAACGTTGCAACGGTCGCTCAACTCTTTGAGCGCTTGCTAAAATTACTAAGAGTCCAAAAGTCCAGTCTATAAAAAGTCCAATGATTCAAGGGGCGTGTAAGCAGCAAATTTACAATGCATTTTTCTTTAGACTTGTTTCTTACGATGCGATGTAACTTATGAAAACGAATTATTTCAACACGAGAACTACCAGAAAAGTATCCGTAACTTTTCTAAGTTTACTTATGGTGTATTTTTATTAATTCGGACTTTTCACACGATTACGTATTCTTTCGTTTCTACATTTTAGTCATCGGTGGTTTTCTAATTTTGTCCGTATGACCGTACAGATTAAAGTCTCAAAGAGTTTTCCCATCGTTCAAAATTACGGTGTCTTTTATTACCGACGATTCCATAATTTTTCGTTTATTTAGAAACTGTCAAAAATCAGTCTAGAAACATAGGGATCGAATGTTTACTCTTTTTTCGGTGCACCCTTGGCGAACAAAGAAACAGAATAGTACGTGGTTTGAGCCTCTTGTATTCATTTTTGGCTGTTTAATATTCGGATAATGGAAAGCACAAGCTTGTTTGAGCTACATTATGGAATGGAAAATAATCAGGCCATAGTCGTGTGAATGGTTGAAAAGGCGAAGATGGTGGCATTAGGCAGACCGCCCCCCCCTTCCTCTCTCGAAAAAAAGGAAAAAGGAGAACAAATAGAACGTTGAACGCATAGAACAAACAATTCTTCGAGTGTAAGATAAAAAAAAAATGGAAACGAGGCAAATGCCTCTTTCGATCGAAACCTTTGTTAGCATCCCCTTAAATTCCCGTCGTTCATTTTCGTCAAATTCGCGAGGAGTCGTGTGTCGTATCGCGTTTCCCACGCTCCCACGTTTCCCTCTTTTCTTTTTACCAACCGTTTGTCATTATACGCCGAATCCACGAAGAGATCCTATTCCCCGGCGAATTAAGCGAAATCACGCGAAATTTCGCGATTGAAAGCGAAACACGTCACGCCGCGCGACAGAGTGGTGACTTTTATTTTGCCGAACGAGTGAAATCGGAGGCGTTGATTTCAAGAGGAAAGTTTCATCCTCCGCTCGAATCGACAGGCGACAAACGCGCGTCGGCTCGTAAATTTGATCGCGACGTTTAACGCAATTTCGCGTTTCGTTGTTTACCGAAAAACCGCGTCCATGATCGAAAGAACACGATTCACTCTCGCGAGCGAGAGATAAAAGCGTACAATTTCGTACGATTCCGCTTAATTTCTCCGATCGCTAGAGTCTATGCGATCGTCTCGAGCGATAAATTATTCCGGTTAACTATGCGCCGTTATACGTGTCTTCTCGTCGACGGGGAGTATCTACTTTGTATTACAAGCGAGACACGTTCTCGAGTGCAGGCCAAACGCGGTCGCGCCGCGACGATGAATAATACGCGGTGAAACTGTGCACCGTATAATTGCATATTTTTGCGGCGACTAATGCACTCGCGGCTCGCTGTCGTTCGTTACGCACGCTATTCGGCTACGGCGATGCGAATGTTTTATAAATTCGACTGATGACCGACGACATGGCCGAGACACGGACTGGATCGATATTCAGCTTCGTTCCACTTTCACGCTTTTTATACTTACAATATTCGGCTTCGCGACTCTCTTGTTGTTGATTTATTAAAAAGCAAATCGAAGCTTTTAGTCTATTTTTTTTTCTTTAAAAAAAAAAGCGAATGCTCCCAAAGAGAAACGTTCAACGTCACTTGAAAATGTTATCTTGTCTCTCGGTATTTTTATCATCTGTGACGTTTCACGAATTTGCTCGCGAACTTTTGACTTTATAA